GGGGGAGGGGGAGGGGGCGTTACGAGCTACACAACCGTGTGCAGACGAAACACATGCTACAATACAGATCGCTGGAGAAAAATGCAGAGACAGACCTTGTCGGCCTCCCGGGGGAAGGCACGCTTGGGTGTGTAGCACGTTTCGTTTGAATGTTGATGCTCCTACGTTGCCAAGTGCATGACCACCAAATGGGAAACAACAGAGGAAGTATGAGAACCACGTTTCTCTCCCCCCTCCTCTCTCACGATCCTCTGGTCCGTGCGTCTCCTGCGGAGGATGGGCTGCCCACCTCATCACATATATAGAGGAGGTTCAGAATCCCTCTTGAAGAATACATAAGTTGCTGGTGTACGGCCTTATACGGACACGTCACAAAGGACGCCAAGTTAGCGCGTTCTCTAGGTCAAGGGCATCCAAGAAAAACCAGGTGTAGGGTATTCAAGCAACGCCAGAAGGGTTTGCTAACCTTTTGGGTAGGGTATCCAAGAAAACACCAGAAGGGTTTTGCTAACCTTTTGGGTAGAGTATATCAAGAAACGACCAGAAGGGTTTGCTAACCTTTGGGATGTCCAGTCCTCGGGCTGCCACATCGGTGGCAACGAGAACGGCCTTGGGGTCCGAAGTGAAACGGTCCTGCCAAAGTGCGGGAGGGGAGGCAGGAACACCGAAGGGAACAGATACAGAAGAAGATTGGTCAAACGCCGGGATCGAACAAGCTACGTCCGCGAGCGGACTTCACACAATTTGCTCGAGGCTCGATCAATCGTGGCCATAGAACACACTAAATAGTACGGACATTGCGCCGACCGGCAGTACGCGACAACGATGTCGACGCACGTGACCTTCAAGACATGCTACGCGGGGTCTTTCATGTCCCTGCCCCACACCATTGTCGAAACTGCGCTGGTTGAGCGGCAGGAAAGCAAGGGGGGGATGCCTCAGCGGCAAACAAGCAAACAACATAATAAATCGCAGGCAGGCCGGGGTCAGCACGCACGCATCCACCCCGCCGCAAACCCCACCAGAGGTGCCGATTTAAAGCCTCTGCCCGCCTCCCATCGTCGACAAGTTTCATCTTACTCCCCGCTGAGAGGAGAGGAAAACAAGGAACAGAACACCACCCTCGCTTAATGGAAGCATGAAAGCGTTCGACAGGACGCGAAACACCCAACACAACACACCACACGTTTTTGGTTGGCATTCGCATGCAGCGCATTGCGCATTATTCGAAGTTTTGGCCCTCTACCAGGAACTGATCATTGTTTTTGCTTCCCCCGCTGGCACTGCCGTCTTGTATTGGTCAGTCAGTCAGCGCGGTCGATGCCAAAAATAAAGACATAAACATATACACACGCGCCAAGAGGGGCAGCAGCAATCCAAGGACTCTCAGGGAGGCGGGCCACGAAGAACAGCAAACAAAACACTACCAGGTACTCACGAGGCTCTTGAGTCTCTGGCGCTGCTGCATCTGCGCGTGCAGGGGGGTCGCCGGCACGTTCAGCGCGCACAGCAGCGCCGACAGCCTCCTGGCGATGGCGATCGCGTTAACGAAGATCAGCGTGCGGCCAGGGTACATCGCGCAGAAGAGGTACGCGTGTACGTCCTTCTCCATCTGGACGATATCGCACGCACAGGGGACAGCATGCGTGGGTACGTGCAGGGGCATCGGAGCATAAAAAAACACAAAAAAAAAACAGAAGAGGACGGTCCGAGCGTCAGGGCGAGACCATGGGGACGGCGGAGTGTTTTCTTTTGTCGGTGTTTGTGCTTGGATCGAAACTTGTAGTAAGCAGCCTTCTCCAAGCGGGAATCAGTCTTCGCTGAGTTTCTAGCAGGAAAGCAGGCCCTCGCCTACACATTCAATCTTGCAACAGCAGTCGGCTTCCGCACCCACATGTACGGGAGAAAGTCCTTTTGTGTAGCGTTCGATCGATGCTCTCACTGCGGCGAAACAAGCTGTAGAAATCACAGGGTAACCCCCCCCGCCCCTGGCCAGACCACCGAACATCCAAAGCCACAAATCCCTCGCCACACCTTTGCCCCCCCACCCCACCCCGGCGCACCTGGAGGCTCTTGATGCTGCACAACTTGAGCGTCGAGGGCAACGCCGGCAGATCTGCAGCCCCGGCCCCGGCGCCCCCGTCCACCACCGCCGGCCCCGCCGCGGCAGCATCCTGCCCTGTCTCCGCTCCTCCTCCCCCTCCCACCGTGCGCCTGCCCATGTCAATCACGGCAGGGTCTCCGCGCACGCCGACGCGATCCATGATGTTCTTCACAGCGTCGTCGTCACCCTCCCCCCTTTTCCCCTTCCCCTTTGCGGCGGCGCCGCCGGCGCCGCCCTTCTTGCGCTGCTGCCGCCCGGACGAGCCTAGCGTAAGGGTAGCCGAGAAGACGTACGTCTGGCGGGCGAAGCCGCGACCGTCGTGGCGATTCGTTTCCGCCGGCGGCGACCGCACCCGGGAGGCGCCGCCGGACAACCCACCCCCGTCAGCGCCACCGTCCCCGTCGCCGCTCTCGTCCATCGCATCATCAAACATCTTGCCGCCTTCGCCGCTGTCCTCCTCTTCCTCCTCCTGCGGCACGCTCCACTCTCCACCCTCACTGACGTCAAACGGAAATTTCTCCTCGAAACGGCTCTTACTGCTGCTGCCACCATCCCCTCCCTCCCGCCTCCCCTCCGCCTTCGCCAGCATCGAGAAGAGGCGGCTGAGCTCGGGATAGTGGCCCCTCTCCAGCATCCGGTCTGCCTCGTCCACCACCAGGTGGCGGAGGGTTTCCAGCCTGGACAAGTGGGCGTGCGTACCGGCCATCTCCCAGAAACGCCCCGGCGTGGCCACTACCACCTCCGGCCGACGGGAGAGCTGGCGCTGCTGCTTCACCTCGGCGAGCCCACCCACGACAGCCTGTGGCGCGCGCGCGCCAGGGGAGGATACTCACGTAAAACGCATGCCGTAGCTGTTAGACCTTTGACCCACTCAATGCGGGGACGGCGCCATTAGGATGCCGGGTTTTTCGCCGGCCCAGGCCACACCATATATGACACAAGATAACACACCCCCTGGACCAATGTTCAAAGCTCGATTATGCGACAATGAAGAGGATGCATACATGAAACAATACATTTTCGGAAAGCTCTAGACAAGACAGCTTCAACTCCACCGTTTTCCGCGCTGTAACTTTTTCTGCTGTCGAGTAATCGAGATTTGAAAATCGGTCCAGGGTGTGCGTTATCTTGTGTCATCTACGGTACGTTTCACAATGATGAACCACAAGCACCGAGGCGGGGGGGGGGGG